TATATATATGGAAAATAGCAATAGAAAGATTGTTTAATTGGATTTTGTATGAAACATTCTGTCTATGGTTATAAAAAGCAAAACCTAAATATCTGAAAGAGGAAAAAAACCCAAAAGATGTAAAATAAATTTGAGGTAAAACTAAAAAAAAAAATGCATGTTTTCATCAACCTACATAAAAGTTAAGTGAACAGTTTTGTGTCTTGATGGTAGGAACTGACTTCACATCTGAAATTAATGCTTAGCGACCAAGTCTAGTCATTCATTTTCAGGTATCTCTCAATGCTAGTACATTTTTCCTGGAAAGATTAAAAACTATAATGACTTTGGAATTTAATAATCTTTTTTCCCATTATGAGTTTTAAAACACATATGTGAGGCCTACAGTTTATGACTGCCTATTTCTCATCTGTTTGGGTGAGAAATAGGCACCCACCTCTGTACACTTTGCACAGAAGATTGATATAATAAACTTCCTTAAAGAAAACAAGCAAACATATGAAAGCATACATGAAAGTCTGTAGCATTGCAAAAACCAATATCCCAACTATCTTTTCACTTGTCAGATCCTCTGAGTCACTGACTTCCAGCATGACCTTGGACAAATTACTAGATATTATTTTGCCACAGATAATCCATCTGTAAAATTGATGGGTTTTGCAAACACTACAAGGATAAAAATGAGGACCTTAACAATCAAACAAACAAACAAACAAACAAACAAACTCTAATACTTTCTTATCAGAGCTGAGTTTCCATGGGACCAAGAAAAGAAGATAAAAGGTGACTTCAGTTTGATTAAATCCATCCTACCTTTATGTCTTGCCAGATATCGACCAAGGAGAATTATAGAACATAGTGTGACAAAGACAACAACAGCTACTATCCCTCCTATAAGAGCATGATCTGGTCCAGTTTTTCCAGCGAAAGTATTGGGATCTAGTAGAGAAAAAAGTGACAAAATGATAGATTATTCAGGAGGCTATGAAATGACCCAAGTATCAACACTGAAATTTAAAATAACACGGGGGGATTTTTGTGTATGTGTGTGGAAAGGAAGGATATGGCATTTTAAAAATACACAGAGGAGTTATTTCCCCATTCTTTTCCATACTATCTTATCACCAATAGAGCAGTGCTTGTAGTCCCAGACTGATACAGCCCTCTGGACATCACAACACAAAAGCAGAACAAAAAAAGAAGAAAATCTCTATCAGAAGTTACTAAATGGGAAAGGTTTCTAGTTCTGTCCTCACTGCTCTATAACTGAATATCTATCCATGACTATTTATAGAAGCAAAAATAAGAAGTTGAGAACTGGGGATCAGATAGAATCAGCAGAATAGACTCTACATAATACATAATTTATAGGAATGAATCTCAGTGTGAATTCTTTATATATTCCTTTTGTCATCTCTATCCTTCTTTCTCTAGAAATAAAAAAAAAAAAAAGAGGAAAGAGGGAGATAAAGTATAATTGAGCAAGTCCCACAGATGACTGAATCTGCATTAATTCAACCAGATGAAATGCACCCCTAAAGAATATGGTTCATTCTCAAGTGTTAACTTTTGAATTTAAAGCAGTATTCTGATTTATGCTGGAACAAATTCAAACAGCTTTTAATAATCCATCAGATATTTTATATTGTAAAACTTGCCATATCGACCATTTATTTTTGTGGAGCCTTGTTCTCAAGCACCAAAACTAGCATTTTGTCTGTTTGCCTTGAAGACAGCTTTCTCCAACTTGGCATTCCTTAGATGTGTTGGAACTCCAATGCCAGAATTCCTGGCCAGGAGGATGCCATGTTGGGGATGGTAGCTATGAATATTGAGGTAAAAGAAGCAGACCATGTAATGTTAAAATGTATTTGTACGTAACAAAACTTCAACTCTGTAACGATACTGTTAGCATATATGCATGGTGGAATTAATTTTAGCAATTAGTTTGAAAATTGCTATTTATGTTTTGTAGCATATAAATATGAGTATTGTAATCAAAAACCCTCTTCAAGGATTCTTAAATACTGCATATAGGCTAAGGTTACCAGCAACCAACATGAATATATGCATGTTAGTTTGAACGTTCCTATATCCACATATCTTATCTCCTGTTCCTTGGTCTCTCTTGTTTCCACAATGTCTGAAGGAGAGCTGTGCTCCTATTCTCTTGAACATATTATAGTTCTTTGTACCATCCAGGACCCTATTTCATCAGGGATCTGGATTATGCAGGGAGGCAGTGAAGGACAGAAAGGCCTGGCGCGATATGTTTCATGGGGTCATGAAGAGTTGGACACAAATTAACGACTGAACAACAACAAAAATTTTATGCTAAAGCAGATGACAGTAAAACACCCTTTCATATCTGTTGTCAGAAGACAGGGAGAAAAAGGGGCTGAATGATCATGACAAGAGGAAATAGCAAATCAACTATGGGATTGTCTGTGGAAGTGGATTTCCAACCCCACACCATTCATACTCCACTTATATGACAATATATTTAAGCCTATTAACCAAAGTTGAAAAGAAAGACTCAACAACTTTTCCACCATGGGCTTTTAAGATTCTCCTTCCTTTTGCTCATGGTTGGCTAATGCATGCCTTTATTTTCCCTCTTCTGACGTGGACTGATGCCTAGGATATATGTGAGATGCTCTGTGGATTTCTTGTCATAAATTGTAGCATGTGAGGTAATATTTTTGCAGCCAGAGATAATGCAGCTAAGGGAACTTTCACACAGCTACTATTTTCATTACTCTAAACATCACAATATAAGTTACAATACCCCACAGCTGTTCTTGCCATGATCATTCCTGCTATGATCTTCATATACTGCTTATGGACCAACTGGAACTCCCTCCAGTAACCCCTAGAGGAGTACAGATATAAGCAGCTGGCTTCTACAATGCCAATTGTTCTTGTCCTAATTTCACCCTGTATTTGTTTTTGCTGCCTCTTCTCACTAATCAAAGAATGCTATGGCAACACAGTACATTAAGCCCAACTGAGAAGAGGGGGAGCCAAGAAGACAAGGCACTAATTGCTGCCAATAAAAGCTGCCTGGCTCCAAGCTCTAGAACTTCTGTTGCAGAACTGTAACTTCAACAACACTTCCTCTATCCCTGCTTCACAAAGAAAGTCATTCACTGATGCAATTTGGTATCAGTTCTTGGTCATATTACAAAGTAATCAATGTGTCTAAGATGCCCCAGTCATTCAAATGGTATAATTATTTTTATTGTTCTAGTTGTTGTTGTCATTATTATCAGTATTATACATGTCTTCTTCCTGAAGGACTCTACAGTGGAACACAGAAAAGGAACAAGAAAACAAAAGATAAAAATATAATCTGCTCCCCCAAGACAATTAAAACATATTTATAATGTATATTAAATGTATACACTAATAGGACATATTTAATATGTACTGTACAAAACCAGAATTCCCTTCAAACACAGTCTGTTACTGGAGCAGATGTAATCCCACAAATGCCTGGATAAACAAGCATGTTTTAAGTAGCTGTTTAAAACAATAAAATACGGGGAGCCACTGCACTTCCTCTGGGACAGTTCTGTAAATTGGGCTACTAATAAAGTCTTCTCTACTAAGAAGACTTTATTCCTATTCAACATACTGCAAGCCAAGGTGGAACCAGAATCAGAGCATCCCCATATTAAAATACGGGTTGGAAGGTATTAGAAAAGGTAGTCTTTTCTGATACTTGGAGTGCAAAACTGTTTGGACTTTATAGATTCTAGTTAGTACCTTGAAAAAGGCTAGAGACATATTCTGAAGACTGGTATTAAATCATTCAATTTACATGAAGGTGTGCGTGCACACACACACACACACTGTACCAGCTGCAACATCTGTGCTGCCTTTAAGGATCATCCATGGAGTGAATTGTAGCAATCAAATTGTGAAGTTATTAGTATGTAGGTCACTAAAGCTATGCATTCCTGGGCCAGGTATGGTTACAGCTAATGCCCATCTTGACACAAAAGCTACCTATGCAGAATCAAGAAGAAACCCCCAAGCTATACAACAGTTCTTTTGAAGGGAATATAAGGCAGCCATCTTCCTAATTCTTCAATCCGAGAGCACATCCATAGTACCTGGACTCAGCTTTAGCTATAACAAGCCAGTAAAACACAGGCATTTGGAAATTTAAAATTCCAATTGTAATTATTGCTATTTAAAAATTTTAATAAGGTAGCAAGGTACCCTCAGAAATATGAGCCAATGGTCCAGGAAACTGAGATTTTTGTCATCTCAAAAGTTAAAAGAAAAAAAAACTTAACAAATAATATATGGCAAGCCAAAAAGCAATCACTATTGTCAAACCATTAAACATACAGGAATGTATTAAGTACGGAACAATGTGTTACCTTGTTGCAGTTTTCTGATAGAAGCCTAATCCCTTGAGTGAATTTCAGAAAGTAAATTCACTTTCAGTTATCTATTGTTTTATACAATTAGTATTTCTGTGTTATGTTCTTCAGGGTGAATTAAGGATAGATTTTGATTTGTCCCTTTTCATTCATGGACACACACACAAACACACACCAATAATTTGGGTGAAAGTAAGAGGGAGGATACACATAAATTAAGGCTTGCAACTCTTTGGGAAGTAAATACGTGTGGGATTATATGTGGAAAGAGGAGAAGCATTTGCTTGCCAAGAAAAATCAAATGTGTCCCTATCTCTTTTCCCATCAGACTGTTGATAATTAGCATCTGCACAAGAAAGATGCTAGTTGTATATTTAATAGTGTTGAAACAATTTATTTTCTGTATTCATGTACATTTCTAAATGATATCCTTACTAATGCAGCATTCTTTTTTTTTTTTCATAGTAAGTTGTGTGATGTGGTAGAGAAAAGAAGCATTAAAGCAGTGTTCCTCAACCTTGGCAACTGGAAGATGGGTGGACTTCAACTCCCAGAATTCCCCAGCCAGCCAAGAAAGGAAGGAAGGGCTGTAATAGAAAAATTCCAATTCAGCCAATTCTGGGAGTTGAAGTCCATCCATCTTCCAGTTGTCAAGGTTGAGGAACACTGCATTAGAGGAAGCAACATGGGTTATGGGTGTGCTCCTAGTTGTACCTGTTGTGCTCACTGTCTTAATACACCACTGACAAGACCAAAAGACCACTTGGAAAACTTTCATATGGTTTCAGAAAAAAATATCAGTACTATTTCAATTCATGCACTTCCAAAACACATAAAAATAGATTAACTTCATCTTAGGTCTTTGAAATGTTAATGGCTCACAACAAACGTTTTAGCAGAAAAAGCAGATTGTAGGTTCAGATAATTGAAAAACAAAGTTTCTCCCTTGAAAATGCTTCTAATGGTGTTCCTATAACAGCAGAAATTTAAGGATTTAAGAAAGTCCCCCCAAAAGTATATAGATATAGATAGAGAAATATATAGACTTTATAGAGAGATACAGATGGAGATATAGATAATATAAATTATATGGATGATATAGATACAAAGATATAGTAGATACATGGATACATTCATTCAGTAATGTCAGAAGAATAGATTGATACAGTTATAATCTTCTCTGTAACAGAATAAGAACAAAGTGCTAAAGATCATTTTCAAAAGTTTGCAAAGAAAAGAGCCTCCTCCCATATTGGATTCACATGTGTCTGATAGTAAAACACAGTCTTCATGCAATTTTCAATCAGCCCATTTTCAGAGGTCAGTTTTTCAAGTAAAATGAATGTGGCTTGATTTTTTTCAAAATGTAACCCAAGCTTATGATTTGCTTTCCAGGACACTGAATATTTTCATTGATGTAGACTCAGATATTATTTCATATAACATTTATGTTCAGTAGTTTAATAAACTTAATATACGACTAGAAAACAAAAATTACCATCAGTTTACCGCTTCATATTTTCATATTAACATTATATTCTGTTC